TAACTTCGTAAAATGTTGGGAAAAATTATAAACTCTAATACTTCAAAGGACAAAATAGCAAAATATAAAAATTCCACCACGCGAATAAAGTAGATTGTGTCCTAAATACCTGGCACCGAACGCATATTATTTCCTCTTAATTATCTTCCATTTACCAAGTAATTTTTATACTGCACAAAAATATATCACAAAGTCAAACTCTTTTTACAAAAAAAGGAAATATAATCCATTGGAAGATTCATTCCACATGGCTGCCACTTTGGCTGGATGATTTTCATTCTTCTTCACATGTTAGTGGTAAAGCTTAAAAGTAAAGAAAAAAATGTTTCTATTGTATTTTTATATTAAATAATAACTTTATTATATTTTTCTTAGTATTTCAAATTATCATGACAATAGTTTGATTTTCTATATTCAGTGTGGGACTTTTTTTATAGTCTTTTGTCGCCCTATTGGTATTTTTTATGCATAAAGCTTTGCAAGTTTAATTTATCAACTCATATTCATTTTATATTTCTTAAATAAGTTACATATATTTCTAGTAGCTTACTACAAAATTTCATCATGCTTAGCTAGTTACGACTCATTATTATTCTATATGAATGATCCGAGAAAAATCGTTATTTTCATTATTTCATCAATAAATGAATGACGTAGCCGTCAAGGCATGTGATAGGTATTGTTGATGACTAAAATCAACGTGACAATTATGGATTACTTTAAAAAAATTATACAAAGTAACAAAATTTAATATGGAATATATTAAAGAAAAGAGTAATTTCTATTAGGTAGTGTTTATTAGCATGTTACAGAGAAATTGCTTTATTAGGACTTTCATTGGGGATCTTTGCTCCTTTGTTTAGGCCTTTTAGTAAGAGCTTGCCGCCCTCCATCTTGTCAAGTTACATTGTGTGACTTCATTCATGTGCGAACGTCGTTTTGAAGAGATTTGATTGGTTGAGGAGTTCGATCATGTCAAACTATCATGACACCTAGCCCGTAGCATGTGGCCTAAGTCATCATTACCTGTAGTCTAGGCAATCATTGCTTTCTCTTGATACATTAACATTGTGGTGCTGAAGTCACCTGACACATCTTGCCTTTGATTGGTGCCATGGGAGTTATTGTCATTGAGGAACATTCCTTTAATTTACTTATGATGATGTTTTTAGATAACGGTAGTCTTTGGCATTGGTCATGTCTCGTGGTTAAGCCTCACTTAGCAATAGAAGACTTCACAATTAAGCTTCTTTAACCACTTTAGGGTGGGTCTGAAATAGCCGTTGAGATCGGACACCAACATGTATAACTTAAAGGAGACCTCCTTCACACATTATCAATAGAAAAAGTAACATGGTGTATTTTGGTTGGAAAAAATATAGTTGAATATTGTTTCACATATATCAATCGAAAATTATTTAAAACGAGGCTTAATTTATTAAGGAGGTGGTGGTGGTGTTCGAATGAATTAGAAAGGTAAAAAGCAAAGGTCATAGAACTAGCTTTGTTTATGTAAATTCAAGAAGCTAGAAAATAAATATTCTCCTTTAGCATAGTTATAAGGTTAGTCCCTAGGGCTTACAAATTAACAGGCTGTCTCACTTTCTTAAAGTCAATTATAAGTTAAAATAATAAGCATTTGGTTAAACAAAGCTACAAATACCAAACCCTAAACCGTATTTATATATATTTTAGACCACACCAATACTTTTTTTGCCAAGGAAGATTAGATGATCATATATTCTTGTTTAATTAAATCTATAATATATTAAATATTATATCAAGTGAGAATCATTTTTTGGACGAGTCCTACACTAAATCAATTATTTTAATAATACCTTACTTTTCGTTTTTCAATATGTATTAAATTTATTTAACCACACTATTAACATGAATTATTTTGCCAACTACTTAGTTGTCATTAATGTACATTTGACAGATTCATTTTACTTGATTAAAAAGTAAATTAAATTCATTAAAAATTTTTTTTTTGAAACAAAAGATAATCTTATGAGAGTTTTGTTCTAACTTATTTATTCATCAATAAATTTTATTATGCAAATAAGGTAAATAGAGGGACATAATTCGTATCTATAATAAATAATTCCAGTGGATATATTCAATGCATATTAAGTGATATGAAGAAATTGTGGTATTCGTCGGATGTTAAGTTTAGAGTAAAAAGGTAAATCTAGCATTTGATTTCATACCAATTTGAAATAGACACCTTGTAATCTTAAGTCAAAAATGGCAGCTAAGTCATTGAAGAATACTTTAAAAAATTCTATACTTGCCGACCAAATAATCCTATATTAATTCTTAATATGAAATAAAATTCCTATTTGCATAAATTATTATCATGAATGATTTTGTCAATTTTCGTATTTATTACCATGAAAGTACATTTCCAAATTCATTCAACTTTATTTCCATTAAGTGGAACTTAATTTCATTATTTCTCAAATAATTTAGATTCATGTAGTACATTTCAAAATTTGTTGTACCAGTACTTAATTTCATATGAATAAGGTTCATGTTAATGTATTTAAGAGGAATTCAATTTCTTTAATTCTCAATTTATTAGAGTTCATATTAATGTATGAAATTCATTTTCTTTTAAGTTATATTGTTTTATTTTATGTATATATATATTACAAACAAATTGACATAAAAATCTCAAAATTTGGTGAAAAAAATATAAAAGGTGAGTGATACATATACTATATGATCATGCATAAGCTCCAAATTCAATCGTCAAGCAAATCAATAATTCTTTGGACTGAATGACTGCTACAACAATATGTAGTATACATATATATAAAGCTCGAAACTACTAAACTTAATTTGTACAGGACACAACAACATGCATTTAATCAGAACTATATTAGAGAATTGTTGGCATTATAAATGAAGTGAAACAAGAGGTGATGAAGTTATAAAAAGAATTATTCTCCTTGCTATAGTGCTTATAAAGCAATTTGGCATAACATGCAATGCACGTTGAACTCTAACTAGTTAATCTTACTATGAATTGTGACGTTTTCAACTAAAGATTAATATTATTACTTTATTATTAAATAAGCGATCCTCTAATTATTTGATATTTTCATCTCTACGGAGTTTCTTCTTTCTCAACCGATCCTTTAGATCATAACATTGTGCCAAATTTGTATCAGTTTCTCTATGAAAGATTGTCAAACTTTATAGGTAACTATATATATATATATAGGGATGTAAACGAGCCGGGCCGAGCCGGCTCGCGAGCCAAAAATTTCGGCTCCGGCTCGGCCCGGTTAAAATGACCGAGCTTTTTTGCGGGCTCGAGCCTGCTCGGCCAAAAAAAATAGGCTCGGCCCGAGCTTTTGCTCGGGCTTTTTACGGGCCGAGCCGGG